ATTTCGCACTCTTCCCGGCGCAGGTGACTTACCGTCGCAGAATCCCTTGGAATCCGAGGCGGCTGGGTGTTCCCAGGGGTCGTGTTGCCAATGGGTTGCGCTGGACGGTCGGCAGGGTGGTCTGTGTCTCCTTCCTGCCCCTCACCCTGCGACTCGCGACACATTTCGCAATCTTCCCGGCGTAGATGAACGACCACCGCAGAGTCTGTTGGAATTCGAGGCGGCCGGGTGTTCCCAGGGGGTCGCGTTGCCAGCGGGTTGCGTTGGACGGGCAAAATCCTCTTCGTCTTCTCCCTGCCCCTCGCCCTGCGACTCGCGACTATCATCGCATTCCTCCCGGCGGCGGCGACTGACCGTCGCATGGCCCGTTGGAATCCGGGGCGGTTGGGCGTGCCAAGAGGTCGCGCTGCCAGTAGGTTGCGTTGGACGGTCGGCAAGGTCCCCCCTGACTTCTCCCTGCTCCTCCCCCCGCGATTCGCAACTATCTTCGCGCTCTTCCCGGCGGAGGCGACCCATTTCGCAGTCTTCCCGGCGCAGGCAGCTAGCCGTCGCATCTCGAGGGATCATGGGCAGGGAGGGAAGGGAAAAGTCAGTCTCAGGGGAAACGCCCTGCGAAGGCGGAGCGCCAGCCCACCCGTCGGTGCGCTGGGTCTGCGTCGCGGCCATGCCGCCCGGCAGCTTTGTTGGACAGCCGCGCAAGCCAGGCTGGCCGCGGGGCTGGCCGTTGGGCTGGCCGTCGGACTGGCCGCGGGGCCGACAGTCGGGCCGGCCGCGGGGCTGGCGGCAGGGCCGGCCGTCGGGCTGGCCGTGGGGCTGGCAGTCGGGTTGGCCGCGGGGCTGGCCGCGGGGCTGGCCGCGGGGCTGGCCGTAGGGCTGGCCCCACGGGGCCGGCAGTCGGGCTGGCCACGGGACTGGCCGACGGGCTGTCCGTCAGGCGGGCCGCAGGGCTGGCCGCGGGGCGGGCCGTGGGGCTGGCAGTCGGGCTGGCCGGGGGGCAGGCCGCCGGGCTGGCCGCGGCGGCCGCGCTCCGCCGCGGCGGCGCCGGCCACCGCGCCCTCCGCGCCGCCGCCGCCGCCGCCGCCGGCGAGGAGCTGGCAGCGGCAGCGGCAACAGCAGCGGCAGCAGCAGCAGCAGCAGCAGCAGCAGCAGCGGCAACCGCGACAGCGGCCGTGGCGACAGCCACGGCGCCGCCGGCCTCTCCGCCGCGGCGCTGCGCGGGGCAGCCGCGGGGCCAGCAGCGGGGCAGCCGCGGGGCTGGCATCTGGGCTGGCCACAGGGCTGGCAGTCAGGCTGCCGCGTGGCCCGCCGCGGCGGCCGCGGCGGCAGCTGCCCGCCAGCCGCGGCGGCGGCGGCAGGCGACAGCGCCGCTGCGCGCGCCACCGCGGCGGCGGTCGCGGCGGGGCAGCCGCGGCACAGCCTCGGCGGCCGGCCGCGAGCGGCGGCGGCGGCGGCGCCAGCAGCGCTGGCGGCGGCGGCGTCGGCCAGCAGGCCGCCGGCGGCGCCAGCGGCCGGGGGCCGCGGCTGCAGCGCAGGACCCAGAGGTCCCTCGCGTCCAAAATTTGGACGTGAATTCTATCATGTTGCTCAAGTCCATTTTTTGGACTTAATCAGGGTTCATTGCGCTTTGCAGCGATATGAAGTGATATCATACATACGTATAGAAAAATACACAATAAAATCACACGACGCCCATAGTTGTTCACATTTTCATGTCACACGCACACAATTTACTTCACACACACACACACACACACACGTTCGCACACACACACACACACACACACACACACACACACACACACACACACACACACACACACAAACACACACGCGTTGAACGCCTTTGCTGAAGGGTTACAGCAGATCTTGCATTTGCCATCACCGTTGGGTCGGTAGATCTTGAGTTGCGACTGTATTTTCTGGAACATTCCTCTGAGAAGCTGTGTTGGATTATTTCGAGGAGCATCGGCTCCACTTCTTATGCGTCCGAATGGTTCGTCGAATCGTGCTTAGCCTACCCATAGCCATTTGGAGCAGGTTCGGGCGCTTGATTTCCCAATCCAATTCCGCCGCGTTCAATTTTCAACCCCAGCCCCGAATGACACCCCTTAGCCCGCCTGTGGTGCGTTTCGGATGCCGAAATCTTCCAGGACACGATGTTTGCAGAATTGCTTGATGCATTCCTCTTGCGATTGGGCGGGTTGGGGGGGTCACCAGGGCAGGGATTGAGAGTTCTCGCGGTACGTACTTGTTCAGCCTATGAGCAGCGATGAGGCTGATGATGATGTGGGCGGCGGGGATCCCAAGGCGTTGGCAGCAATTCTACTTCCATTTGCGCACAGTCCTGGCTTTATACAATACGGGGATGGAATGAAAAAAACACCTGTGGACGTCGATTCTTTGAAGAAGTACACCAGTCTGATAGCTGCAGCGGCGAAGTACTCGTCCGACTTGCCGTCGGCGCGCATCTCACAGACATTGGCACAAGAAGCTTTCATTGAAGTCTACAGGGTCAAGGTTTTCGACATAGATGAGGTTACCACGAAGGAGACTGCCGCGCCCACCTTAGCGAGAAGGCTTCGTACGATATTGTGTCACTACAAACGAGCAGCAGCAGCGACCAGACCCCCGAAGTGGGCCGACGAGATCTCCAAAGCAATGGGCATCACCAGAAAACGGCCAGCTGCATCAGAGGGGACTTCGACAAAAATGACACCGTCCAAAAAACCAGCGAAGAAGCACAACGGCAAGGAGGCAGCTGAGGATCATGGAGGCAAAGAGGAGGACCAAGCACAAGAAGACGAAGAAGAGGAGGAAGAGGAGGAAGGGAAGGAAGAGGAAGCAGGCGAAGAAAACAACGAGGAGGAAGAGGAGGAGGAAGAGGAGGAGGAAGAGGAAGAAGAGGAGGAGGAAGCTGAGGAGGCCGACCAGGAACAAGACGAGGAGGAGCCAAATGCGGGGGATGACGGCGCTGGTGATCACGTGTCACGTGATTGGGCAATCAACCGATTAAGACATAACACCTCCCCTTCTCGTCCTTCTCATTGTCACCCCAGGCCCCGCTTATGTGATTGGTTTCCCAGTCGAGGCAAGCCAGCTGCGACTGCTACCTTGAAGAGGCCAACGGCGGTCGCATCGGCGGTCTCGGCGGTCTCAACAACTTCGAGGTTTTCGGATCTCGGCATGCCGTCTACATTTCGCAGTGATCTGTGGGCGCAGGCACTCGGTGGCGGCCAGTCGAGCCCCAGTCCCACCGTCAAGACTGGCTACGACAAAGTCCGAGGTGCTTGGATCCAGGTTCTCGGACAACCGAAGCAGTTCACCAACGATATACATTCAGACGGGGACGGAAATCTTGTTGGAGTCTTTGGCGAGGCCGAGGTCGTCATCGACAATTTCACGATGGCCAAAATCGAGAGCCTCAAGAAGAAGAAGGATCTCGCCGTCAAACAACGTCCAGCTGCTGCGGGCAACTCCAGGGGAAAACTATTCTGTGGCCAGTGGGGGTCCAATGAAGTGACGGTGGAAATCACAACAGAACGGATCAACGGCGTCAACAAGACTGGCAAGTTGGCGCGCATCTACGTGGACGGCAGCACGAAGGCATCTGTACCGCTTAGGACTGAGGAACTGGCCAAGCAGTGCACTGACTTAGCTATCGCGATGGCTCGTAAGCTGTGTGCTGGTAAGTTTCAGGATACGGATGAGCTCAAGGCTGCAACTAAGGCGGCCTCTTTGAAACTGTTTTGAGTGTGTTGCATGTTGCAAGTGTGAACGCGATATGCGATATATGATCTCTTGCACGCATCACGCCTTTAGGAATGCATCGATGCCCGATTGCCCGTCAGCGCCCCCACTACTGGAACCACCCCTAATCTGACATATCCACACATGTAAACATCAGTGTTTATCGGGGAGGGGGCTTCCATAGAAGTGGTGTTTTGTTTGAGCGATTCGCACTGCATGTAATTACTGCTTGCCAGCGTTTGGACGTTCCAGTTCGCATCGTGCGTGCGGCGGCTGTGACGAAGGTCGAAACGGAACTCATGTATCCTCTCGATCCCCTCCGCCCCTTCATCCACCCCAGTTGTTCTCATCAGCACCTCCTCCTCCTCCTCCTCCTACTCAGCCCTCCTCTTACACCTCCCCAGGCCCCCGCGAAGGTCACGACGGGTTCTGCGAGCGATGAGGTAGATAGTACACAAGTAGTTCAGCCCGCAGCTCGCTCAGAAGACCCGCTCAGGTAGAGCCCTATGAGGTAGGACACTATCAGGTAGGAACACTATTCAAACGATATATAGTAGCTGGTTCCCTCCGAAGTTTCCCCCAGGATAGCTGGAGTTGAACAGTTTGTTTTGCATGCTTGTTGCTCACGTGCTTCTGCTTCAGCCGCAGCCGTCTCAGGTTTTGCAGGCATCGGATTCGGTCGACCACCCATCCATTGCACCTGGCTTGAACCCGCATGGACACGTGGGCCCCCTTCAGAGGCCAGGCATTCCGACTGGGCCCTGATGGGCCGAAGTACGTGATCGAAGTGGACACGCACGACGAGCCAGCAACCCAGACCCAGATAGACACAGCCCCACAGTTTCAGCCTGGAGTTACCGCTGCGCCCCCTCGTGCAGACGACGCTCCGCCGCTTGCACAGAGTCAGGCTCCACCTCTTGGACAGGAGCTGCGGCCATGAAAGAGTATACCGACACTCTCGCCCTTTCCTAGTCGTCCTCCCCCCTGACCCCTCTCTGCATCCTCCGCTCCGCTCCTCCGCTCCGCTCCTCCGCTCCGTTCTGCATCCTGCCATCATCGAACCTCCCCCTCCTCCTCATCCTCCTCCACCACCTCCTCATCATCCTCCCCTCGTCCGCTCCTTCACGCGCGAGATCCTTCCCTCTCATCCTCTTCCTCCTCCTCCTCCTCCTCCTCCTCCTCCTTCTCCCCCTCCTCCTCCTCTGGGCCCTGGGGTAATGAGAGCGATAGTCGCCCCCCCCCCCCCTCCCCAGGACGCTGCGCCTGCCCCCGCGATCGGCACGCAGGACGAGGCGACGCTACCTGATGCCTTGCCGCGCCCGACCTTCAGCGAGGCGACGCTACCTGATGCCTTGCCGCCTCCGACCTTCAGCGATGCGACGCTACCTGATGCCTTGCCGCCTCCGACCGCCAGCCAGCTGCAGAGTATGGTCGATGCCGCTGCTCTTGCTGTTCACGGCGCAGGCTCGCAGCCGCCGAGCGCGGTGGCGTCCGAGGAGCAGGCGACTCAGCCCGCTGGCCCCCCCATCGCCAACGGCGACAGCGGCGACACCCTCGACCAGCAGCATGAGACACCAGCCATGGACATGGAGCTTGAGGAGTCGCTCGGCTCGCTGGAGAGCCTGAGCACTGAGATCTGCAGGGAGGCGGCGGAGGCGACCAAGGCGACGCAGGCGATCTCGAAGCTCATCCAGGGGTTGGAGGCATCGATCAAGAACGGGGTCCCAGCACGGACGCCAGAGTATTCTCAGTTCTGCAGAGCCCTCGACGAAGATGAAGACCTGCAGAATCGATACTCCGCATGCCAAGGTCGGACCTCGAAAGCAGCTTTTAGGGAGGACTGGGCCAAGAAGAAAGTTCAGGTGCTCAACGAAAAAGTATCCCAGAAACAAGTGTCCTCGGAAATCGACTGGCAGCACACGCACATGCGGAGCTTGGCTCAGATTGCCGACAAGGAGAAGGACCAGCAGGTGGCGCTCAACATCGCCAAGACGTGCGTGAAGTTAGGGCCCCCCTTCATCAAGTGGGACCCCTCGGGCAAGGTGTGGAGGTTCGCCCACGCCGAGGAAGGCTTCACCGAGAAGCTGGAGAAGGCCTGGCAGGTCAAGCAGGACCTCGAGTCCGACGGCTCGCCGATGAAGCCCGCGGGCGGCGGCGGCGGGGGGGAAGGGCCGCCTCCGAAGAAGCCCCGCAAGGACAAGGGGAAGAGCAAGGACACGACCAGTGCACCTGAGCCGCCAATCGAGAACTCAAATCCCGAGGACGTGAGCAAGGTGCAGCTTCAACAGGCCGACAAGGACTGCAAGGATATCCTCGACATGTACCGCACTGCCACGTCGAAAGCATCCTCCATCATTGAAGTGATTAACAAGAATGACGAGGAGTGGAAGTGGCTCCAGAAGGATAGCCCCTTGGCGACCAACTTGCAGAAGAGCTACGACACGAGCAAGACCTCTGCACCTGGCATCCTTAAGAGCCTCCTCTTCGGCAAGACCATTGCGAAGGTCAAGAAGGACCTGGGCAAGAAGCAGTACGTTGCCGAGGCCACTTCCATGCGCACTACCATGAGCCCGCTGCTCCAGAAGCTGGCCACGGAGGCCGACGGGCTGAACACGATGCACGCGAACAGGCCGAGAGACTGAGTTGACGAGCGGACGCAGCTCGCTCGAGGTTTTAAGGCTAGCACACCTCCGCACGACAGATTTCCTTCAGGATTTCAGATTTTGTCACGAAAACCTCCGAAAACCTACCGGTGAGTTTCGCGATGAGTTTCGGAAACTCACCGCGGTGAGTTTCGGGAAACTCATCGGTGAGTTCGGGGGGGGAGACAGCCATTCCTCGATACATTCGCAAACACCAGCGGTGAGTTTCACCCGATGAGTTTGGCAGGACCCCGAAACTCACCGATGAGTCTACCGGTGAATCTCGATGAGTTTCGGAGATGCTTTTTCCGAATGCGATTTTCCAGAAAAAACCTTGGAAATCAGCGGAGGTGCGCGCGAATCTGCAGCAAGCTGGCATGTGGGTGGAGCTCGATCGTGCGAGCTCCGATGCTTCGGGGCAGCTTGCCATTCAGACGAACGCATGGAGTCAGAATTCCTGGCAGTCCTCCTCTTCCTCCTCCTCCTCATCATCATTTTCCTCCTCCTCCCCCTCCTCCTCCTCCACCTGTTGCCCTCATGAAGGGTCTTGCCCACGCCATCCGCCTCCTCCACCTGTTGCCCTCATGAGTGGTCTTGCGATCCAAGTCTAAACTTGGCGTCAGCGAAATACGAGTTACGCGTAAAACATAAACCCCCTGTTCCTGCCCCCTACTCCTCTTACTTGTGCTCCTACTCCTGTGCTTGGAACCAGGGTCAGGATCAATTGCGTCCTGGCTTCGTGCCGCAGGCGTGCCACGGCATGAGCCCGTTGCGAAGCTCCGCTCCCTGTCGAAGGCTAAATGCGACTGTTGATTTGCAACATGCCAGTGTCTGTTGCCCCGCACACACACACGCGCACACGCACCCACGCACGCACGCACGCACGCACGCACGCACGCACGCACACACACACACACGCACGCACGCACGCACACAAACACACACACACGCACACACACACACACGCACACACAAACACGCACACGCACACACACACACACACACACACACACACACACACACACACACACACGCCCACACACACACACCAACGCAAGCGGCGTTTTTCTCCAACTTAGAAGGGCTTAGGGTATACATCATGCATCTCGTCCTTGACCTAAGGACTCAATGTGATAGGCACGTCGTGGACAAGTCCAGCTTCAGGAATGAGAAGGACAGAACATGAGGAGAATGTAGAGGAGGATACTTCTGAGATATGCTCAGTTTTTTTGCTGTCGGAGTCTGAAGAGTGAGAGGAGGGAGGAGGGAGGAGGGATAGGGAGGAGGGAGGGAGAGGGAGGGAGGAAGGGATGGAGGGAGGGAAGGTGGAGGAGGAGGAGGAGGAGGAGGAGGAGGATCAGGATCACGATGAGGAGGATGAGGAGGATGAGGAGGAGGAGGAAGAGGATGAGAATGAGGAGGATCAAGAAAGGTAAAAGATAGGCGGCACCCCCCCCTCCCAAGGCTGTCTCGTGTGTACGTTCTGATGCCCTTGACCCCAGGCCACGAAGTCCCAGGGCCTTTAGCTTGGTTCAAAGACCCTGGCCAACTGCTGAGGCGAAGGACCCAGAACCCGAGGACGTCCACTATCGTGACCCCGCCCTCCACGCAACCACCGCCTCGTGCTCGTCTCGTAAGCCTTCGCCTCGAAAGCACGTTGTCATGGAAGCGTCCTCATCTCGTCCGTCTCGGTACCGCCCTCGTAAATTCGATATCGTGTTCGTCCGTGCTCCTCCCCCTGATGCGTCCGTCCTCATCCCTCCGTGTAGCCCATTTTGGCTCAGTGCGATAATGAAGCGATCACACGACGATTGGGACGTACCACACACTAGTTCGACAGTTTGGGATACCAGTGATGCGGATGGCGGCCCGATCGAGCCACCAGTGTCACACGGTCAGATGCTCGTGGATGACGTGATTGAATATTATCTTGCTGGTGATCTCAGCGCGAAGAAAGTGTGCACGCTCTGTTGGCACGCGTCTCATGCAGGAATTCGGGAGGCCAGGCCGTACGAGCTGTCGCCAAACAGCTCGAGCGGTCACTTCCAACGCAAGTTGGACAAAGCATTGGGTTCTGAGAAAGACGACTCGTCATTGTATTATCTTGAAGCTCCTCTTCTTGTGCGGAGCAGTGCTTGTGTCGAGAGCGTGCGGGTAGCTGTCAATCCCCCACACGAGCGTCTGGTCGACGAGTTGGCAGAACATCCAGAGATCTTGAGATCATGGGCCGATGAAATTAGCAAGCAAAGGTGGGTTGAATGCTACGAGCGCCATCCTCTAGTGGTCGAATCCCCCGCTGCAGACAGGGCCCACATTATTCCGATATGTATATACCTTGACGCGTCAGAGTTCCAAAAGAGAGATTCAGTGTTGGCGTTCACCGTGCATTTCATTAACAGTTCGTTTCGGCATTTGGCCTTCGCTGTTCGCAAGCAGGATTTCTGCCCGTGCGGTTGCGGGGGCTGGGACACGTTGTTCACGTTTTTCTGCATGGTTAGATGGTCACTGCAAGCCCTGATCAAAGGAGAGTGGCCAACGCGACGTCACGACGGCACCCCGTTCAGGGAGGGAGACGATCAGAGAGCTAAACGTGCTGGACAATCGTTTGGATTCAAAGCTATCGTGTTGGATATTCTCGGAGATTGGAGTGAGATCGGTCATCGGTGGGGGCTCCCGCAATGGAACAGCAACCGCCATCCATGTTTCAAATGCCACATACCCCAGACACTGATGAATTCTACAGAACCATGGAAGTGGAAAATCAAAACCACGGACGAGTATCTGGATTTTTGTGCTGGTTGTGAGGTCTGGGTTTCGATTCCTGATAAGCATGCGCACTGCGAGATCAGACTGTCGCTCGAATCACATCATGAGAAACGAGGAACTGTGTTAACGCAAAGTGTGCAGATTGGTTTGGTATTGCTCTGCGCTGGAGATCGATTGGAGCCGACAGAATCGATGCCAGATATACAAGCGTTTTTCTCCATCAAGAACTTCCCTGCCATGGTGATGTTCTGGAGGCCGAACGGCGAGCCAATGGCTCACAGGAGACATCCACTCATCTGCCCCCGTTTGGGGATAGGGTTGGAAACGTTTCGAATCGATCTCATGCACACAGTCCATCTCGGCATGCTTCAGGATTGGGTCCTCTGCGCACTATGGGCCATGGTGGACGCGGACGTGTTCGACGTGTGCCTGTCGCGGCAGGCGGAGCAGATCAGAGATACCCTGAAGGAGATCACAGCTGGTGCTCATCGATGGTACCCTGAGTACAGAAGGACGGCAGGGGGGTAGATTCCGAAGACTCCGATCCTAAGTATGAACTGTTTTGTTCCTGGCATGTTTTTTTTGTTGTCCGTCCTGGTCCTTGGCATTCAGGCGTCCCGCGCCGTTCTTCTGATGATCCATGCAAACGCTGTGCAAGCAAAACAGGTGGAGGAGGAGTATGAGTAGAGGCAGGGGAGGGGTACGGGCATGATAGGAGCAGGGATGAGCAGGATCCAACATCAATGTGAGAACGATGAGAAGAGCGAGAGAGGAGAGGCGCGACTGGGGAGGGGGAGGCAAAAGGGGGCGCGGATAGGAAGACACGATGAGAAACAAACGAAAGGAGGAAACACTACGATAGAAACGGTACGAATAAAGATGATGAGACGAGCCTCATGTTTGCTAGCACAGCGTTTCCATTGTAAGTCTGACCTCTGTGTACCCCCCCCCCCCAGGACAATCGGAGAAGAAGCCAGCAAGTCTGTCACGGAAATCGGTAGCCTCAAACCTACAATGATCGGCACTCGGGCGAACCCCGCCCTCAGCTTGAAAGCGTCTGAGAGTCGGCATTTGTCCCCATACATCCTGAAGTTGGTAGGCGATTTCCAAGGTAAACTGAATAAGGTCGTAGATGCACACGCGCTCTTGCAAGCAGGCCGAGCGCTAGATCGGTGGTTGTTTTTTGTTGCGACTGAGCCCAGGAACCCGTCACCAGAGGCCAGCTTGGGGCTTCAGGAGTGTGCGCTCGAACACACTAATCAATCCCGTCGATGTGGTGTCAAGTTTAAGCCAAAACACCACGGTTTTTTACACTGCAGTTTCGATGTGCATTACCAGGGGAACCCCAGGTGCTTCCACACGTATTTCGACGAGGGTCTGAATCGTGTTATTTGTACAATCGCGAGGGTGCTGCACCGCCTCACCTTTGAGAGGCGATTGTTCGCCAAGTTTCACCGCTTGCAGGATGGGCATGTGATGCCAGTGAATCGGTGGTACTGACCGTTTCACAAATACTTGAATCGCTCACGGGGACGGGGGACCATATCAAGGGGATCTCATAAGAAGTCACTTCGAAAGATCCCCAAACCAGGCCCACAAGAACCGCTGGAGAAGGAAAAGGATGGGGACGAGGCGGGAGGAGGAGGACGAGGAGGAGGAGGAGGAGGACGAGGAGGAGGAGGAGGAAGAGGAGGAGGAGGAGGGGGAGGAGATGGAAGAGGAAAAGGAGGAGCACGAGGATTACGAGGATGAGGAGGATGAGGGTGAGGACGAGGAGGAGGAGGAGGAGGAGGAGGAGAAGGAGGAGGAGAGAGGACGAGGAGGAGACGGCGCAGGAAAAAAACGAGGGAGGAAGAAGAGGAGTAGGAAAGTGTGGGGAGCCGAGGAGGGAGGAGGAGGGAGGAGGCGGATCGTCGTCCTCCTCCTCCTCGTCCTCCTCCTCCTCCTCGTCCTCCTCGTCTCCTCCTCCTCCTCCTCCTCCTCCTCCTCCGTCCCGCACTTGGTTTTGAGCGTTTGCCAAGATCGAGCCCCTCCTCCTCCCCTTTTTGGCAGGATCCCGCATGCGTGCTAAACTGCACGACAGTTTAAGCACACATTGCGACCTGATCCAACATGTGCCTTTTCCCAAGCGCATGGGCATTGGCAAAAGTATGCGATCGCTGCTTGCCGCGCTGTTTGAATAGTATATGTTTGTCGCAACAACTGAAGGAAAACAACGCCCCAATCATTGTCCC